CAGAAATCCAGTGACAATACAGCAAGTTTCCTTTTTTGTCAAATTTAATGCTCTAATGAAAAATCACATATTTCCAGTTATTTTTATTTTGCAAAATCAAAAGAAAAACACAGCTACAAAATTGCACAAGAAGAAGTGTAAAGTAATAAGTTATTTTCGCGATAGCGTGTGCTAGTTAAGTAGTTAAGAAGACATGTGATAGATAAGAACTTAGTTCGGGATCGCCCGATTCTGCTTGATTGATGGAAATGCGGCCCGGGCTCCCCGAGGACCCACTTCGCACACACGGTACATCGATAGTTACGCCACTATCCACTAATTACTAGGTTCTGAATGAAGAAATCTTAAAAATCAAGACGCGTTTCTATGGTAATAAAATTTCGTTTTCATTATTTGATAGATTATTATCGATAGCATTTTAATTAACGTTATATTTCTTGCTGTTTGAAAATGTTAAAGAAGCACAAAATTTATTTAGTTCAATGCTACGGAAAGAGTGATAATAGTTATTGTGTGTGTGGAAAATGTGATACTTTAACGACAGCCAAAAATATGACGTGTGTCAAAATTAATAATAACCATCTATCAATGAATGAAATCGAAATACTATAGACAAGCCTTTAGATTTTTAGGACTAGAAAAAATTTAATAATAATTTCATGTTTTTATTAATTTTCTCTAAAACGGTATGGAAATTTGTAAAACTGTAAATGGGATTAACTATTTTTTAACAAGCACTTTTTTATGTTGAATGCATTTTTCTCAAAATATCAATAATAAAAAAGTTTTTCCTCTTGTAAAGACAATCCGGGGACATACTGCATAACCAACTTTGCATTATAGTGAAAAGATAAAGAAATAGTAAACGCTTAAGATGAAGCCATTTTGTTCCAAAGACACATACATTCGAGTTCAGATTATCTTCATTTGGAGACCTAATAGAATAATCCTTATTTTATTTATGTTATGCTTCATTTTATTTATACCCATTTCCAAATCTTGATTTGTTTCATTTATACAGGGTGGCGCACCTCATTCGCCTCAGTTGATTATACGAAAACGGAAAGATGTAGAAATATAATTTTTTGTAGGTATGTGTAAAGAGGCAATGTGCATAATTTAAAATTATTTTCAAATGTACAGGGTGTGTCAGAGCTAAGATCCATACCAAAGTTACAGTTTTTTCTTATGGAACACCCGGTATTTTATTTCATTTTTGGATTCTTGGGCATAAAATAGGCCATTTATTATAAGGGTTTAATATGTTTAAATGCTTTGGTTTTTGAGATATTTAAAGATATTTAAATATGCATGCTATAACAAAAAAGTTTGTCACCGCCCTGTACATTACTTTTCGAGTTAATTCTTGTGCTGACTTTGAAGCCAGAGAAATAAACTTTGCTAAAAAATTTTATAGCTTCCTTAAATATATACAGGGATATCAAAAATTTCTGGTCTATTTTAAATATTTATTTTACATAAAAACTTCGTTATATCAAATACAATACTATGTATTTTTTTGATTTTATAACTTTCAAACTATATTAGGGTTTCCTAAAAGCGATTTTTTCAATAAAATCAAGATGGCTGGTGTCGCCATGGCAATTTGCTAGTGACACTAGCTATTTTCAAAATCGCCATTAGTTTATGGAGTTTATTTCAATTTATAACAATTTACTTTTATTTAATTAACCTACAATAGTTTAATAAGTAAGTATTTATTATTTTATCAAGAAAAATAAAGTAGTTCTTTGATCTATATTACGATGACTTGTAGATATATTGGACTTTCTATAAAAGAACCAATTAAGGCAAATTCATTTTCTTCGTAGTTTTTCAAAGGAACACTTGCCAAGAAAGTTCCTATTTGGATATCTTTGAGCATAAACCCTTCAGGCCGACAAGCAATTGTCCTCGAAAAATAACATCACTAGTAACATATCCATTCCTTCTGCTAGGAGATACTGCTTCATTTTTCTTGATAAAATAATAAATACTTACTTATTAACCTTATTGTAGGTAAATTAAATAAAAATAAACTGTTATAAATTTAAATTAAGTCCATAAACTAAAGTCGATTTTGAAAATAGTTACTATGTGTCACTAGAAAATTGCCATGGCAACACCAGCCATCTTGATTACAATTTTATTGAAAAATCGCGTTTTATTCAAAATCTGAGCCAGATAGGTATAGGAAACCATTATATAGTTTGAAAGAGCATTTAAATATGCTTCGATTTATTTAAAAAAATACATAGTGTTGCGTTTGAAATAACGAAGTTTTTATGTAAAATAAATATTTAAAATAGACCAGCAATTTTTGATACCCCTGTATACATTTAAGGAAGCAATAAAATGTTTATTAAAGTTTATTTCTCTGGCTTAAAAGTTAGCACAAGAATTAATTCTGAAAAGTAATGTACCTACAAGGTGTTGACAAACTTGTTTATTATAGCACGCATAGTTAAATATCTCAAAAACCAAAGCTTTTAAACATATTAAACCCTTAATAAAATAATAAATGCCTTATTTCATGTCTAAGAATCCATAAGAAAAAATATAACTTTGGTATGGATCTTAGTTTTGACACACCCTGTATATTTCAAAATAATTTAAAATTATGCACATTGCCTTCCCACATATACCAATAAAATATTTTGTTTCTACATCTTTCCGTTTTCGTATAATCAACCGAGGCGAATGAGGTGCGCCACCCTGTATAATATACTATTTTATGTTCATCTATTTATAATATTAAGTCATGTGGTTAAAATAAATAATAATTTCTGATTTCCAATTACTCTGCTAACATCCATTTTATTGATTTATTCAAATTAAAAGTGGAAACATTGGTATACTACTGATTGGTAATTTGTTTGGTGATTTAAGATATGTTTATTGGTTGATGATTGGTGATTTGGGATAGGTAAATAAAAAACCACATAAAAAACAAAACATCTATACTGTATATCACAGTTAAAAATCAATAAAACTACAGAAAAACGGCGACAAGTCAACGTTTTCAGTCAATAAATATATCATATATAAACAGAATAGAATAAAAGATGCATCGATAAAAAGGATGATGATTTTCATTTTTATTGTTATTTAAAGCTGAATTTGTCTTGACATAGTAACAACAATAAATGTGTCATAAAATGTTATTTAATACAATTATTTAATAAGTGCACTTGAATTTTTGTTATTGACTTTTTAATGACAAGTTCCTAAGGAACATTCATACTTCAATAAAGTACAATGACAATAAAAAGTGAAATTCATCAAAATATTTGATATATCTTTTATTTTCATCCGTAGTTATTAAAAAATTCGTTGCTTTTATACAATAATAATACTTTTCAGATCATTGGACAATAGCTATCAACATAAAAGGCTCTGTATAAGTATTAGTTTATCTAACTCAGTTAATTCACTTTACATTAAATTTAAGATATTTGATCTAAATGTTAATGAAAATGTTTAAAAAAATTATGAAAAAATAATAACTTATCAAAATCCAGCCCTTTTGTCGTAGAATTGTACAAAAAATATAATATAAATATATACATAAAAAATTATAAAGGGGAGAAAATAAATACAATAAATATAATAAATTTAAAATACACACTAAAATAAATAAAATCTTAAACTATTAAGCGAAATTGATAGTAAAGTGATTAAATAAAGGCGCGCGGTTGGGTTTTTTATCACTTTTACGCGTTGTAGACCGTTAGTTCTCTAAATATATACCGAGTATTTTTCAGGATAAAAATTGAGTGGTACAGTAAATTCACTCTGTATAGTAAAGTACAATATATAAAAGTCCAGCTCAAAAAACGTCCTGGATTATCATCTTTGCTATGCAAACAAATATATATCAATAGTCGAGTAAATTTTAAAATCAATAATCTTTAATAAATATTATATAAATTAATAAAAAATGTCAATATCACCGTCTGTCAAAAAATCACCTTCAATAAATTAGGTTAGGTCGATCGATACTTGTTCAGATATCAGCATATACAGGGTGGTCCGAATTGTATTCCGGAAACTTTGGCAGCATATTCTGCAGATAAAAATAAGTAAAAAAGTTCGTATAAATGTATGTCCTGAAATGCTTGGTTTCGGAGTTACAGGGTGTAGAAGTTTCATTTTTATTTCGATTTTTTTTCCAAATAATTTCTGAAGTAACGTTAATATTTGGATGAAAATTGGTGGATGGGTGTTTTTTGACATGAGAAATTTGATTTTGATTTCAATATGACTCCCATTTGTAGGTGGCGCCACCTACATGTGTTTTAACTGTTTTGAAGAGTAATAACTTTTCGGCGGTACCTGTATAAATCTACTGAGTAAAAAAATATACATTAACGACTTTTTTTACGTAAAAAAGGTCTCTTGGTAAAAATCGCTACGAGTAATGGTTCTCGAGATATTTGTAATCGAAATTGTCAATACCTGTCATCATTGATATAAATTAAACATGTTGACTAAAGAGTTATTGACTCAAATCATAAATTTGTATTGTTTTTGTGTCAAAAGTTCAAGAAAAACTGTTTAATCACCATTTTTTCGCAAAATAATGTATGTTTAATTTAAAAAAATAAAAATTTTCTAGATTTATTATTTCAGTCAAATAACTATCTCAACGTGTGTTTATTTTTTGTTAAAAATTACATGTATTGACTATTTCCATTCTAAATATCTCGAGAACGGTTGCTCGTAGCCATTTTTACCAAGAGATATTTTTTACGTAAAAAATCACAAAAATGTATATTTTTTTACCCAGTAGTTTTATACAGGTACGGACGAAAAGTTATTACTCTTAAAAACAGTTAAAACACATGTAGGTGGCGCCTCCTACAAACAGGAGTCATATTGACATCAAAATCAAATTTCTCATGTCAAAAAACTCCCAGACACCAATTTTCATCCAAATATTGACGTTACTTCAGAAATTATTTGGAAAAAATAAAAATAAAAATGAAACTTCAACACCCTGTATCTCCGAAATTTAGCATTTTATACGAACTTTTTTACTTATCTGCAGAATATGCTGCCGAAGTTTCCGGAATACAGTTCGGACCACCCTGTATACTAATTTTGATTAAGTGTCGTATCGCCCAAATGTTTCGGCAAAAATCCAGATCTCCCTGTTTCTGATAAAAATATGTCTGGAGATGACAGTTCCAATTTCGTTGGGACATTAGATGGCGGATTTGATGGGGCCATTCTTGCTTAAAAAGTCGGAATATTCGTGGACGTATTCCATGATCTTGATTAGGTCTCTGATGATGACCCAGTCACGCCTAGTACGTTCTGTCATATCGTTCATGAGGTTTCTGTGAGTGTCCGGCACGTAGGAGCGTTGGACGAATAGAGAATCCGTGGCGATTTTGTTCTGGAACAGACCGCCGTCTTGCAATTCGCAGAGTACGTTAAGGACGATCCCGTACAGTTGTTTTGAGTCCGACTTGAGCGGTTCAGGAGATTCCGCATAGTCTGCTACTATGGTCTCGAGGCCTATGGCAATTTTCTGGAGATAGACGAACATGTTGGTCAGGCCCTCGTAGCCCTGAAACAATAAAAAATCGTATTAATAATATAAATATTTTTGGGTTGCGGTAATGGAAACTTGCATTTTGGTTATAAAAACGGAGTGAATTTGGCAATAAAGAAATCAAAATTTGAAAATTGGAAACGGAATTTAAATATATCTTTGAATGTACAGGATGAGTCTTAGATAAGCGCAAATATTTTTAGGGCTGGTAGATCTGGATAAAAAAAATATTTTCTCTTTATCTTTTTTAAATAAGTCCCAAATAACCGATATACCGGGTGCGTCTCGAAAGTGGCTCACCCCCTATAACTTTTTTATTTTTTCAGATAGAAAAAACCAGATTCGGTATGTTGGTATATGACATAAATTAGGATTGATTGACGAATTCAATTGTTTTTCTCCACTTCCTGTTTCACCGGAAATGACTACAACTTTTGATTTTTAAATGGCACACTCACGTTATTTTTTTACTTTATTCGATAGAAAATGATAAAAAAAAGTTGACATATGACATTTGACATTTTCACTTTAAAAAATATCGTATTTTAAATTTCAATCTAGAGTGCCATGGTTGTGCTAAAAACACTAATTTTTAATCAAGGAGTCTTGGAAAAATAGTTTTAATCGTCTACTGTTTTTCGTGTCTTGTCCCGGCCGGTTAAAAGATGCACAAATCATTTTTTTTAATCATATCTCAATTTTTTTCAAATGGAACGAGGATGGCTCATCAACATATTTGGAAAAAGCATTTTTTTACGAATAATTTGGTACCACAAACTTAGTATTTCGAATCAAATTGTCGTTACGAACCGCATGTTACAATTTCAAATAAACCATATGCGAAAATGTCAAAAGTTGACATACAAAATATCATTCTATTCAGAGTGTCTTTTTCTATCGAATAAAGTAGAAATATACCGAGGGTGCCATTTAAAAATCAAAAGTTGTAGTCATTTCCGGTGAAACAGAAAGTGACCAAAAACAATTGAATACGTCAATCAGTACTAATTTATGTCATATACTAACGTACCAAATCTTGTTTTTATTTATTTGAAAAAAATAAAAAAAGTTATAGGGGTGAGCTACTTTTGAGACGCATCCGGTATTTTACTTTGAACATTTAAAAAAAATCGCTTAAATTTTGAGTACCACTGGATCTTTTCTGGATTTTCTTTCTTGTAAATTTAATCTACTATCTATGTTGCCATATTAAGAAGAGATTGTGTTTAAAAAAAATCCATAATTTTTTTTGCAAAAATTTCAAATTTTTAAATTCTACGGTCTGGTATGGGATCTGATCTGGAGTTTCTGAATTTTTTTTTCGAAATATACCACCCCTAAAAATATTTGCACTTATTTAAGGCTCACTCTCTCGGTTGATTTACTAAAGTGAATTCTGTTTTTTTTTTCAATACTGGAATAATGAATGAATTCTGAATCCAAATGGAAACCAGCTTGTCAGTGGTATTTTACTAGTAAGGAGGTATATCTCCTCCCGCCGTTAGAAGCACACAGAAACATAATTTTTTATAAGCATTTTTTTAGGTTAGACAAATTTGCTTTTATAGTAAAATACCACAAACTGGTTTCCGTTTGGATTCAACCAAGTAGTGTTGCAAAATACAACTTTTTTATTTTATAGATATTGATTTTGAATCCTTTTCAGGATATATTAGAATAATTAGCCAGAATTAGAAAAGTTATTAAATATTTAATAATTCATTTTTCAATGACTTTCAATTGAAAACAAATTTATTATGTGCAGATCAGAGGTTTAAAAAAATTCAATTTTTTTTTCCTATAAAGAAAAATGCATAAATAATGATTGTTTAAAGTGTTCGATACAGGGAAATTTGGACCTCTTGTATAGTATTTGCAAAGTAAATTGGACTGGTTTTGGGATCTTAATTTCGACGATATTGTCAGCATCATGCGGACAAACAAATTAAGAGTCCCAAACCTGTCCAATTGACATTGAAAATACTATACATCCTTGTCGCCAACTATGTTAGCATCATCGGATGGTTAAAACTCAAAAGTCGTGTGCAAAAGTAAAAGTGTTTTGTGGTGAATTAGTGTTTTATTTTATTATTGTAACACTAAAGGCTCTAACCTCCAATTGCAATAGTAAAAATATAAGTGACATATGAAGATTTTGGCCATATATTACTTAAAAACGTTGCGAATAAAGCACACATCAATATTGTAAAACCTGCTGGTTTAAGTGCTTAATATAAAATAACAGTTTAATACGCTTTGAAAATAACTTACGTTTTGTTTCAAATATTCTCGGTGTTGTGATTTTTCTTTCTCCGTGTCCAATTTTGGCAATTGAGGAATCCAGTCGAAGAATGTGGTTCTAAAAATTTCCTCCGGAACTAGTCCAGCCTGAAACAAAACAAACTTTAATCAAAACTCATCGATGTCTCGTTGCATACATTAACCGTAGTTAAAATTACAGTAATATTACCACAAGAACATTGCGTATCATGCTATTAAAACATACAGCCGTACAATGAAAATGATGAATTTGATTAGTCGTTAACCTATAGTTTAGTCAAATAAGCACTGGAAGCTGCCGGATGTCATCACATTCAAACTGAAGACGACAATAGAAAACACAGGTGTCCCAAAGTCACAAGATGAATTAGTACCGCTTTACAACCATCTGGCAAATCAGCTGTTACAACATGTATCGCAAGTTGGTGTAAAATATCGGCGACTGTGTCGCAATAGCGTAGTGAACCCACAACGATAGAGAGCTACCGTCTGGGGACGCTAACGTTAATGGAACTTACTTGGCGAACTGAACGTTTCGGCGATTCGGTAGGAATTATGGACCTGTCGTCGATCACGATAAGGGAGTCTAGCGCTACCTTAAAAGATAACCAGAAAAAGAAATGTTTAAAAACGATGTCACCGAATACGGTTTATGGATCAGAGAAATAATTGAACCAGGAGGCGTTCTAAAATAGTTACTGATAGAGAGGTTTCTTTTGACATCTTGTAATGTTGTCCTATTTTAGAAGAATATTAGATGAAAATAAATTTAAAATTTGCAAAACAAAAATTTGATTCTTATTATTCTTATTGAATTGAAACTCGATCATGATACTTTTGAATCTCATTATAATATAGTGATGATGCACTTGGTTACAAACCAATGTGTTATTCGTATCTTATTAGATTACAAGGTCGTTATTTGCATCCACTGCTAACTTTTCAGATATAGTGTGAATTTATTGTTTCTAGACTACATCCTCCAGTCTTATCCTTCAGAATGACTAATAAATTGGAGGCTGAACCATCCATAGAACCCTCTGTCGATGATTATCATTGTCTAGTACAAAGAACCACACATTTGCCAGGCTATGACATAAAATGTGATTTGCTGGTACCTGTTCATTGACCTTGCAGTGTCCCCTTGCTCTTTTTAGTATCTTTCAAACTGTCTTTATCAGTTCTACCGTACATTTTGTTGAGAAATGAAATGTTTTGCCCGCCTCTGTACTGGTGACTTCTTCGTGTGTCTATATTTATTCTTATAAAATGTGACAACATTACAAGACGTAAATAGAAACCCTAACACTTGTATCAATAAATATTTTACATCGTCTCTGAATCTACCTAGTTCTCTAAGATTTATGACATGAATGAATGAATTTGAATAACGTTAAGGTTATCGAACGGGAAAACACGATAGGTCTCTACCGAGCTCTCATAAGTCTGGCGACCGCCAGTCTAGCTTGTGCGAGTGACGTGCATCAAGGCCAACTTTGTTTTCTACAAACGTAACGTTTTTACACATGATTGCATTGTTTTAATCGTTTGCCTGCGATAGTTCCGCGGAAATCCCATAATATTTCCAGTCGATAATAAATTATTTTTTCTGTGTTTGTTCAGAGATACGTTTATGAATAAATTGTTAACATTAATGACCAATAGTTAACCGTATAAGATAAAGTAATATTTTCAGAAGATTTAATTTAATGAATTAAAGTAAGATAAATTTCTTTTGCAACAGGCATAGCTTATTCAGGAGCTATCTTCTGCGTTCTCTAAACATATCAGCACTCAGAACATCAGTCTTGGTATATATTTTAAACCAAGCTTGATTGGATCTCGGAATTTGACTTGTTAGATAAAATAAGCGAAACTAAACGTTAATTCGCTAACTTCAATGTAAAGGACTTAAGTTGGCCAGCTGGTACTTAATAAGCTGTGCAGCCTCTAGAAACCGGCACCAATATTTTCTTAGCATATATACTAGAGTCATAAACTGAAAATAGTGGATTGCATATTAGCTAGTCATTGCTCAGCTAGTCATCAGCTACTGTTCTATTCAACTTTTTTGATTTAACCAATGTGATAGCGATTATGTGTGTCAAAACACGCATAATCAAGTTTATTGTTATTTAGCTGAAGCTATATACATACAAAAAACTGAATTTTTAGGTCGAATACTGCCAAAAATAAAATACCTGTTTTTTTCAAACAGGTCATGTTATGCTATTGTTAGTTTCAAGAACAACTAGTTATGTATAGTTTGTTTATAGATTTTTAAATAATGACATGCCAGCTTAGATGCTAGCAACACAAATTCGACCTAAAAGATTTTCCATTTTATGCACGTTCCAGCGTAGAACAAAATTTTCAGAATTTCAAAGAAAAAATGCACAACTTGACTTGTTTTTGAGTCAGAATAATTATTTTGTCAGGTTTCCAAAGAATTTGTAATAGATAAATACATAACAGATGCATCCATGAAATTGTTTTTACGATAATATCCTGTGTTTACTACTTGTTTAAAATTGTTGTAGTTTATCTTGAACTGTTTTGTTTGAATTTGATCTTGGAGTTTGACATCCGGGTTAATATATTTAGATAAATAAATACGATTCTACTACTGTATTTTATCAAGTTACTACATCATCTCTACATATTATCAACTTAATCTGTTTATTCCATTTGTTTTTGCATTGATTTTTTCATTTGTTATTACAATTGTTATAGGTTATTAAAAGAAAATATTAATTGTTCGCTTTTATAGGGCATTACAATAATAGTATTGTTTCAATCTTTGAATAAGAAGACTAAGGAAGGAGCATATCAAAAATCTTAGGTACACCGCGATGGGCCTCAAATATGGCCGACTTAAATTCCGGTTTATCAGTGTCGTTCTAATTTTATTTAAAAAATGTAAAACTATGATGTAGGGTAGACGTGGGGTAGACTCAATAATTTGTTGTTTTATTTTACGTTGTGAATAAATGTTGGTAGTTATTAAAATTGTTATAAAAATATATAATTCTAATAAAAATAGATAAGTTATAATAAGTATTTATTAACACAGACATCCGATACGCTACTGACGCAGGTAAGTCAAATTAACGTATCTAAATTCTTTGACATCTAATCTTTGACAAGTAATAAATAAAAGCTAAAATGCAAGAAAAATATATAATTTAGTTAATTTAAGTGAATTTCATAAATGATCGGTTTACTACACGTATGTATATTATATAGTCACTTACTAGCGAAAAGTTGTTCCATTATTTCACTCAATTTTTGCCGAGATCTACCGCACGCTACACAACCAACTATTTTAGAGTCTTTTTCGATAAATCGCGATAGTGTCACTGTTAATTTAAGTTCTGCCACAATTTCCATCTAGATTTACTACCTTTATACAACTATCAGTAGTAGAATAAATAATAAATAACATAAAATAAGCTCCAGAAAGACTGACAAATCCACAAAATTTCAAATCAAATTCAAATGTGTCAAATGAATCGTCAAACAGAACTGTCAAGGATCCCCACCCTAGAGAGCTTTTATGGTGCCTTTTCCGCCCATCATGCATGAATACATGGATAGCATTATGCTCCTTCCTTAGTCTTCTTATTCAAAGGTTTCAATACTGCTTTCAGGTTTTTTTTCGTAAATGCATCAGTAGGACCCAGAGGGCATTATCGTATACTTTTGATTGTCTACTTGATTTTATTTTTACTTCTTCATTGTTTCAGTATTTTTGGATAACACTTCTGACAAAAAATGAATAATTAAATGAGGAGCAGACTTACTAAATGCATTTTGTCCATTTTTTAAGATTTTCAACCAAAGATTGCAAATTGCAAACACAGAGTTACAATGTTATGTCAGAAACGACGGACGTTCTAAATTAATAGTATAGATATATTTTATCTACAACCGTTTAGTTATAACGTCTTTACATCACTATTTTTTTAGTATTTCAGTTACGTTGTGAGATTCATAACACAACTATCTAAAGAGCATCTAAATATATTAATTTTTGATACGAATTCCTACTACTAATTATTATAAATATTAATAACACATTTTTTACACTTCTTCAAAACAATTCTAATTTTTAAAATTGTTTTTCTGGGCAAAAAGTGCTCGCGTTTACTTGACAGGGCAAACTGACTTTTCAGAAAAAAAAATATAATCAAAGAATATACCTAGCTAGAAAAAGAATGGACTCTGCCATACTGAAAAATGGTCCTACAGAAGTGGCGCCATCTATTGAGTAGGGCTTGTTTTAAATGGATCGAAGCGCGGGCTTTTTAAATGAGCGTATTTATTGAATTCTACTCTAAAATAATTAAATTTGATTATTAAATCTTATTTTTTTACACAAATTCAACAATACTAATAACAAGTATCGTTGTGACGTGTAAAAAATAAGATTTAACAGTATAATTTATACAATTATTAAATAAAATTAAAGCCAAACATGTGAAATATTATTTATTATAAAGTTTTTATTTATAAGTCAAATATTTAAACATCGTTTATTATAATAAAACAAGACCAACGTAATACGCCCAAAGTTTTGTAAATGGAGTAAATATAAATAGGTACTTAAATGATGGCAAAAATAAAAGACTTACATTATATTTTTAGGGCCACAAACAAAAGGAATTGTCTAATTAAAACACATATAACAAATTGTAGTATAGTTTGAAAAACATTTTGATAATCATTTATTTGATAATATTATGATTGGCGCTATGACAACGACAATGTTTTTTGAGAATTTGACAATAATATGACAATGGCCGTTGGAAACTATGGAAACTACAAAAAAATTCTGATTTAACGCCATCTGGCAATAACTAGTAGCAACTTCTTAACCTAAAAATTAATTGCACTACCACCTAGTGGCTAGGGCTGGAACTATTTTATTTGAGATTTCCGTGGAAACGGTGGAACCGCTTTTGCTATTTCACTTTCCGGCCCCTGATTATAATTAAAGAAATGACAAATGTCATAGAGGATGTGTTAAGGTGGTGTTAAATGTGTTAAAGGTGGGCGACTAATAAACGAAAATTAAAACAGCATTTTCTTATTTTTCGGTTGTAGAT